CCTCTGTCAGTGACAGCTGTTTTATATAAAGAAAGATTAGTTTTGAAGAGCTAATGACTCATCTGAGCAAGGTCTAAACCAAAGTGGATGGCTGCCGTCTTGTTACAACTCCAAGCTCAAACATGTCAAAGTTGTTCACGTGAACGCTATTTTCTGTTTTTCTATAGTTTAGTTTACCAGCTGTCCCTAAAAATAATGACTTGCTTCATTTTAGAAACAAAAGACATGTTCCTTATTACGTTAATAAGGAATATACTTTTTTTTGTTGTTTTTAAGAGCAAATCTATTTATAAATGATAAATAAAACAGTGATTTTGCCCAATTTTGTCCATCTTCTCTGCAGGGAAACGTTAAAACACATAAATATATTTTGTTTAATTGAAACTACTAAGAAGGTTGATGTTTTTGTCCTTTAAATCGTACAACTTTTTATTTAAAGTGACAGCAGAGTTCAAACAGACTAGAAATGACATTTACTGTGAAAATGCAGTGTGAATGCTGAGTACTGCTAAAATCTGTTGAAGCTAAATCTGGGGTTTTAATGCTAAAAAAAGAAGAGCAAAAAACAGTTTGAAAGCAGCAAAAGACGATCTAAAAGCTAAGGCTACAAAAATAAATAAATAAATAAATAAATAAATAAATAAATAAAATAAAATCTAAAAGTAGCCAAAGGAAGTGTAAAATTAACAAAAACGATCCAAAAATAACAAAAAGCTAGTTAAAAGTAAGAAAAAAGTAAAAGCTAACAGTAGCTAAAGCTAGCTAAATGTTAGCCAAAAGTAGCAAAAGTCTAAACATTGGTTAAACTAGCAAAACACTATCTAAAAACAAAAGGTCAACTAAAAGTTGCAAATGGTTAGCTAAAGGTAGCAAAAACTATAGCCTACAAATGTAACAAAAACTATCTAAAAGTAGCAAAAGGCTAACTAAAAGTGAAGTCAACTAAACGTGGCAAATGTTAGCTAAATATGGCAAAAAGATATCTAAAAGTAGCAGAAAGCAATCTTAAAGTAGGAAAAGGCAATCTAAAAGTTAAAGCACCAAAATAAATAATTAAATAAATAAAATCTAAAATTAGCCAAATGCAGAGTAAAATGTACAAAAGCAACAAAAACCTAGTTAATAGTAAGAAAAAACTGAAAAGCTAAAAGGAGCTAAAGCTTGCAATGCTAAAAGAAGCTAAGATAAAAGTAGCAAAAGGCTAAAAGTTGCTAAAAGTTAGGCTAAACAGGCAAAATGCTACCTAAAAGAAAGGGTCAACTAAAGTTGCACACGCTAAAGGTAGCAATGCTGGTAAATGTAACAAAAAACTTTCTAAAAGTAGCAAAAGGCTAACTAAAAGTGAAGTAAAGTGGCAAATGTTAGAAATGTAAAAAGCAGTTAAAAAAAGGTATACAAAAGTAGCAAAAGGTCAACTAAATGTTGCAAATGATTAGCTAATTGCTATTTAGAAATTGCAAAATGCAAACTAAAAGTAGTATAAGCTATCCAAAAGTAGCAACAAAAAAAAAAAGAAGAAAAAAAACCTCTTAAAGTAAGGTAAACTAAAAGTAGCACATGCAGAAAACGTTTATCTAAAAGTAGCAAAAGGCGACCTAAAATCTAAAGCACCAAAATAAATAATTAAATAAAATCTCAAATTTGTCAAATGCAGAGTAAAATTCACAAAAACTATGTAAAAGTAACAAAAACCTAGTTAATAGTAAGAAAAAACTGGAAAACTAAAAGGAGCTAAAGCTTGCAACGCTAAAAGAAGCTATGATAAAAGTAGCAAAAGGTTAAAAGTTGCTAAAAGTTAGGCTAAACTAGCAAAATGCTATCTAAAAGAAAGGGTCAACTAAAGTTGCAAATGTTAAAGGTAGCAATGCTGGTGTTAATGTAACAAAAACTTTCTAAAAGTAGCAAAAGGCTAACTAAAAATGAAGTAAAGTGGCAAATGTTAGCTAAATGTGGCAAAAGCTTTCTAAAAGTAGCAAAAACAAAATCTTAAAGGTAATCTAAAAGCAGCACATACAGAAAACGTTTATCTAAAAGTAGCAAAAGGTTAGATAAAATGACGCTAATTTTAAATCTTCCAACATGGGCTTGTGTTTACCTGGTAAATGATAAGTTGTGGCATTTACGTCGATGACATTTCTGATCAGAAACAGCGACTTGCAGCTGAATGTTTAGCAGACATTAACACCGCTTCTTTCATTCGGTGTCACCCCGTTCCGTCAGTCAGACTGCGGCACGGTTCTTGTTTCATTTACGGTAAGGCGTCTGCCCTGCTACAGTAACAAGGGGGAATAAACAATAAATAAACAATAACTTAAAAACTTTCATCTATTAAAAACGTATCGAGTCCAAGTGAATGTTCAAGAAAACAACCATCAATGAATATTTCTTCATGTCAGGATGGCCGAGCGGTCTAAGGCGCTGCGTTCAGGTCGCAGTCTCCCCTGGAGGCGTGGGTTCGAATCCCACTTCTGACAAACTTTTTTCATGTTTCTTCACATGTCGTTTATAATATTGAGCATGCATCAGGATGTCGTTTATAATAATGCATTCTGCTCATATTTCACTTCAAAATCACTACAACTAACATCAAATAAATGGCACAACTCAATATAGAGAAGTTTACATTATTATTTTATTTCCATTTCACCATTAAGACACAACTTTATTCAAATAATAAAAGCTTCTAACATTAAGTTTCCTGAAAAACCATGACAGAAATGTTACTGTGCATTAGGATTTTTTCGATATATAATAAAATTGATTCAATAAAATTATGTTTATTCGTCAAATTATATTTGCTTAAGTAAATTTTCCTTTAATTTTGAATCAGTTTAAAAATCCTCTGATCAGACGTTGTGGCCTTTACTTGTGCATTAACTGAGCACGTTGATAGTATATATGAAATATTCTAAAAGTTCTTGAAATGTTTTGCAAATCTCAGGGTAAATAATTCTGCACATGTTTGAAACGCAGCAGGTTGAATTTAACGATTTGATCGTCAACCTCGCAGCTCCTCTGAAGATCAGTGCATTGTGCGCTCTATGGTGCGCTGCACATTGCTCTCATATCTGTAGGCCTTCCTTTAACAGTTGTGTTTTTAGTCCATCCAAAGTGTTTTCCCTCTCAGGACCATGGCTGGCTCATTGATCTGCAACGCCGTCCAACAACAAAGCGAAGCACATGCTCGTGATACATGAACTGGTAAAGTTGGCTGTGGCGTTGACATCCACTCAGATCAGAAGGATTCAGCAGATGATACTGTTTATTCTCGTCTTTCACTGGAAACAATAACTGGGACTTGAGTGGGCCTTTTCACACCTAATCTCAGACTCTTGTAGTCCACATGGTTGCATCCACTGAGATGGACAAACTTGTGTGGCAAGGCATGTGATTTAACACCTGTTCTTGTGCACCGAAGTGAGGTCAAAGTGCAAATCTTACAAGACTCCTGACCTGAGAAGCCTCGTCTAGTCTCCACACACCCACCCACCCCTCCACGTCCTTTTTGATAAGTTCCAGAGACTGTGGTCCAATCCTTCACGTCCACACCTAATGCAGCCTGACAGATGAATGCATGTAAAGCCTGCCAACATATATCAGATTCATCTGGGAAAACAAACAAGGAGTGTTGTAGATAAAAAATGTGAAAATAAAAAGAAGCGCAGCTGGAAGCCTTATGCCAAACCCAGACAGAGATAACAGGTGAAAAACAGAGTGTGAGTTGAGGAAGATGTTTCCAAAGTTATAGACAGCTGCAGTTTTCCTGTCATTTAGTCCATGCTGCCTTCTAGTGGTGCAGGACTGTTCTCAAGAAGAGCTCTTTCAACATCTGTAGAGGCAAACACTGATGAGAATGCCCCC